GTTCGATTAACGAGCTTTGTTTATATTTAACGTTTCCTTGTGAGTATGAAGAAGGGGGAGAATTTGACGTTCTCAAATGGTGGAAAGAGAAAGAAGTAATGTTCCCAATTTTACCGAAAAAGGCGAAGCAAATGCTGTCAATGCTGGTGTCAACAATAGCCGCAGAACAAGAATGTAACGAAGTCGACAACGTCCCAACGAATTATAGAACGATATTGAGCGTACAATCTTTTGAGACACTCATTTATTTTCACGATTGCTTATAGGCCCGAAATAGAACTCAAGAATTTTGTATTGCCCCCGACCGCCACTTCATGGAGGAAACGACAACCGACGGTGACGGGAATTCCAACGATTAGCAATTCTGTTTGATATTTTAAATTATTCTCAATCCTCAATTGTACTTCATATTTCAAATAAATATACATTTCATTTTTAATGTGTACCACATGTTTAATAAATTAGGAAATTTAAATAAAAACTGTCCTGATCCATGACCAGCCTGATCGAGGCCCGGCCGGGTACTCGGTAGTGTTGGACTCGGGGCGGGCCTTTTTTTTTTTTTTTTTTGTTTGTGCTGGGTTTAAATGGGTTGGGTGTTTCTGATGGGTTTGGGGGATGGGGGGTAGGGGATTAAATAATCAAGAAAAAAATAGAACCGGACCCAGACCGGCCTAGACCCGGCCCGGCCCGGAACCGGTAGACAATCGGACCGGTCCCGGGCCTAAACCATTGCCATCCAGACCCGACCAGGCCTAGGCCCGACCCGGACCCGGGTCCATCACTAGTACTCGGACCAGAACTGATACCAGAGCAAATCGGGTTGGTACCGGGCTTCAATTATTTAGAACGAGGACTGGACGAGGTTGTGGAAGGGCATGCTCCCTTTGTCCCTTTGTCATGGTGGGCGATGTCTCATTCTTTGGCAATGGTGAATGATTGAGGGGATGATGGACGAGAGTCATTTTGTCGACACCTGTTTGATCACAGTGTTGGATAAACTGGATCGAAGTAAGCAGTGGTACCGTCGTTTGGCTGATGGGAGAGGATGTAGTTATTTCTTTGTTGGGGGGGAGAATGTCTTGTGGGTATGTAGGTCATGGGTAGTATACACTTGGGGGTGTTTGGATTTGATTCTTAAAATTGCTTCTGCTCCTTCAGGGAGCAGAAGCAGAAGTTGAAGTGTTTGGGTGAAAGTGAATAACTGATTCTGGTGCTCTATTTTACTCATAGAATAAGTTTTTTTACAAACTGTGAGGGACCAGCTTCTGGAAATTGATTCTGATTCTGCTTCTGTTTTAAAAAGGAAGCAGAAGCAGAAGCAGAATCAGAATCAGTTCCAAACACCCCATACTCTATCACTAAGTATTAACATGGTGAGATCCACTATACTCATATGATTAGTTATATGGTGAGATCTCATTGCTACCTTTTTTTCTATGAATAATATGTGTAAATAATAATATCATCATCTTATTTGATTTTGTGTTCAACTTTCTTTTTTCATTTATTCCAAAAGTAAAATTTTCACTTTTCATTTAAAGTAAATAAATTGTACTTCTTATATGTTAAAATGTTTGTTACAACTTTTCGAGTTATATTTAAATTATTGTTACATTTTTCTTTTTCTTTTTGCTAAGTTTTCCTTGTGAAAGTACTCAATTATTTTTAATTTTTCTACTTTTTATATTCTATTTTATAAATTTGTATCTTCTCTCCTATTTTTCCTACATTATATATTCAGTATTCCTACTACCTTTTCGGTTTTTCCTTAAATATTGTGTCAAACTCTATCGTAAGAAACATTTCCATCCATCAAACCCCCCAATTATCATTTTTATATTCCGGTATTGGTCAAACACCTACCTGACATTTCATAATATTTTCTGAAAAAAGAAAGAACAAGGAGGAATTGCGTGATATTTTAATTAGGAGTTTGACCCATATTTTGATTAATATAATAATAATATAATAATAAGATAGGGAATAATAAAGTGTAGCCAATAAGACTTTGGGAGCATGTAAAGCTGTCAATACGCTTTAATAGTAGGTTAGATATGGGGATCAGACGTGGCCTTTGGAACAAAGAAGGATGGGTGTGGTCTGGGATAAAAAGATGCTATGCCAAATTGTCCTTAGTTGTAGAGTCATTTCAACTCATTTTTCTCTCTTCAATAATTGTTCTCACTTTTGTCCCCCAAGGGAAGGTAAATGTCTTCCGTCAACAGAACACAAGGCAGGACGGTTGATTTTTTTCACACAATCAGAGTTACATTTGGGACAAGAAAAAGGGTAAAAGGTGGAAAGTGTGGAGACAAAGACGCTTTACCTTATCCCCTAAAGAAAGGGGAAATAGTAATCCGTAACAAACAATATCCTAATCATGTGCAGATGAAATAGAATTCATTAGTTATCTCATGAAGAGGATGAAGATTGAAGATGGTTTAAGCACTTCAATAATAAAGTTTAAAACTAGAATTAATTGTTGAATATATAATTTTGTGTTTTTAATAATTAGTAAGCTCATTTTTTTATAAAAACATTAAAAAATGATAATTTAAGCAAACTTAAAATTACTATTCACTTTTCCTGAAACGGTAAAACAATTGCTCTAACACTAGAGTATTTGGTGAGCGGTTTTTGGCAATTTATTTTGGGTCTGGCATTTTATTAATATAACTATCGTGCTGCTTTACAAAATTGCGGGCATACACGTTCCAAAAATAATCTATTTCTAATATATGTTCAAAAGGATTTTAATAAAGATGACTATTGCAATCAAATGTTTAGTGCAACCTCTTTAAAGCGGACAATTATTGGTTACACAATCGAGTGAAACAATTCAACCCTAAATCGTTCGATGGACTATTTAAGCTACGGTTAATATAAATTTCATTGATCTAACTCACAACAGTCACATACTTTTTAACTTATGTACCATTGTTTATTCCAAAATCCAAACATATCTAGCTTTTGATAATCTCTGATATGATTCCATATATTCTTAATCATGCACACACAATCATTCTTAATCATTCTTTTATTCCTTCTTAAGTATTTACTGTGGTGTTGAGCACAATACTTTTAATCTAGTATACCTTCCATTCTCTTTTTATATCTTGCTACTATGAGCATTAGTGCATTACATTTTAGCATTATTAAATCTGTATAATATACATATATACATTTGGATTTAATCTTTTAATTTGCTATTGATTGTATTTTCTTCTTCTCCAGTTTAAGTCTCTCAATTTATACATTTAGAGCGTGAAGAAAAACTTTTGTTATACACTTAAGGTGCAAACACCAAGAGGATATCCTTATTACTCAAATCATTATTGTAACGATCGATGATAGCAATTTAATTCTTACATTGTAAATTCTTTTACAAGATGATAGCCATTGTGAAATTCTTCCAAGTAATTGAGAATGAAAGAAGCCTTTTATACACACTTCACTGACTCACTATTATACACACGTGTACATGCGTCTATGAATGCTTTTTTTTGTCTATATTTGTTTTGTCTGCGACAGACAATAAAATCTTCACAAGCGCGTGAACATGAGTGTACAACAGTGAAGTGTGTACAACAAGAATTGTTGATCGAGTATACCCACTGTGAAATCCTCCTAGAAGGCGGATGATAGCCATTACAAAGTCCTGTCAAAAGAGGTTGAGGATTTCATTTGAGCCACATTTTATGTCAGTGAAAAGATAATTCGAAGTTTTAGATTAGTTTAGTTTATATGTAGTTCCCAAATTTTAAGGGAATTATTTTTATTAGACTAAAATGTCATTTACTTGAAAACTTGATCATATCCAGTATAAAAATTATCCACTTGGGCCTTTTATATGTTATCAGAAATCTAATTCAAGTTATAGAACTTTTATATATCTATAATATTAAAGGATGCATACTTATTTGACCAAAATATCTACTTCATTTTTTTTTTGAATTCGTACGTGTGATGCTTTTGATTTAATCATATAGAAGTACATAATTATGCATTTGAGTTTTTTTCATGCCATTGAAAATCTAAATTGGAGTTCTACAACCTACATAGAAGCTATAAATTCCAGTTTTAGAGTCATTTGAATTAGATCAAAATATAATCAACATTGTAAAGTCCATTGAGGCTATTTATGTTCCAGTCCCAAACGAAAAAGGTCGGTTACGATCATGACCGAAAACATTGCAAGTCCCAACACTCAATCCGAAATAAAATATTTTTTGGCTAAAGGGTCAAATAGGTACATGAACTAACTTAAAGTGTTCAATTAGCCCCTTATATAGGAAGTTCTGCCCGACCGTCACCAATTGGGGCGGTTCCCGGTGGAATTGTTTGATTAAAATTGTTTGAGCATCTTCTTCATTAAGTGTAGTTTACCCATACCAAATTGCAGCTAAAAATTCAATCGGGAAGGCAGTCAAATGATTTTCCGAAATGTACTGCGTTGTTTAACTGCGCAGTTATCTTCAAAAAATCATTTGACTGCCTTCCGGGTAGAATTTTTAGCTGAAATTTGGTATGAGTAAACTAGACTTAATGAAGAAGATGCTCAAAAAATTTCATCAAAAAATTCCACCGGGAACCACTCCAATTGGCGACAGCCGGGCAGAACCTCCTATATAAGGGGCTAATTGAACACTTTAAATTAGTTCATGTACCTATTTGACCCTTTAGCCATATTTTTTTCCTATAATAATTAGGATAAAAACGGGTTTGGTCCAGTCACATTTTTAGTGGAATCAAAATTATGTGGATTGAATCAGTTCCAGTCCAATGTTATTAATGCAGTTCTCATCTGGGTTTGTAACCCGCCCAGTACCAGTCCAACTCTGCAACCAGGTCCAACACTACTCCCAACTAATGTTCGATATATGCAAATATACAATTAAAAGCCACGGGGCTCTATATAGCAATTAGCCAAATGTATTAACTAAGTAGAGTTCACCCACTTATCCAATAAATTAATTACCTAAGATGAATCATTATCATTCATCTCACAAGGCTTTTATGCAACTTTCATAGATAAGATAACCAAATGAGGAAACCAGAGTTATTGATTAACAATGCTTACCATACATATCATTAATGGAATGAAATGTCTAGTAAAATAACAACAAATAAATCAATTCGGCAGCCAGGTGCAAAAGAAGCAACACACCTGAAGAAAAATAAACAGGTCTAAGTCTAAACTGATACAGAGAATAAAAACAAGAGAAAACTAAATATAATCAAATGGGAAATTGGGAATTATGCGATTTCCACTATGAATTTGCTCAATTTCCACTTCTGTAGGATCCCTTCTTACACCTAGCAGTGTCCGTGGCTTCTTTCTTCTCTAAGATAAAATGAACAACGTCATTGAAGAAACCGTCCTCGAATAAATCACCGATATTCCGCTGGTCGACGACCTTGCATGAAAAAATTGATAAAACCACAATGACACCTGTTCAGGCATATTTCCTAACATCAATATATTTGAACAAACTTTGAGGCATCGGTTCTTGGTTCATCATTTAGAGACCGGTACATGTACAAAACATCATAATCGGTCTCATTCCTCCCCAACTCGTTCCAGTCAACCACTTCCACCACCAAGTGCGGCAACTGGTGTGCAATCTCCTCACAGCATTGACGTGATACTCGGCAAGACGACATCCAAATGAATCTCATGTTGTAATAGTGATGCAAACCAGCACGGGCAGCCAAGTCCCCGAACGGGCAATCCCTTACCTCGAGCTTTTGCAACTTCGGGCATCCCTCCAGCACGTACTTCAGCCCCAAGTCACTGTTCCCAGCGAACGCAAATGACAAGGTCCGCACCAATTTACCATATTTCCCGATGTAATTAAAAGCTTGGTCAGTCAGCAGACCGGATGTGGAGAGGCGGGTGAGATTCTTACAGTTCTTGACGATTGCTCCAAAACCTTCATCCATTGGCCCACCAGTTAGCGGGTCAGGCCTCTGCCGGCCCATTATGCAGAGACGGAACACCACAATATCCGGTAAGTTTTGTGAAAAGGTAATGACTGCGGCATTGGTCATTCTCTGGCAAAAATATAATATGTATTTAAGTTTCTTGCAACCCTCGGAGATTGCAACCAATCCGATTTCAGAAACAGGGCCATCCATTTCTTCATCAGCATTACGAGGGAAAACTCGAAGCTCTCTCAAATCCTTACATGTTTCAGCAACTGCCTTGAGGCCTTCATCACAGACTGAATCAAGCACCTGCAGGTAATACATTTGTGATAATCGGTTTGGTACGTGTAATATGGCTGAAGTCACTTCTGAAAGAAATAGCATTCTGTAAAATTACTTTCACACAAATAAATAAGTTGAAGGCTATATGTCCTGCTTATTCGGAGTGTTCTAAGCAGAATGAGCCAATTAAAGCTACGAAACAAGACCTATTTGTGGGTGATCATATGATGTTGCTGAATTTTGAAAAATATCTAATATTTATTTTGCTGATAATAGAAAAATAAATTGTTTGAAAAAAAGAAGTTAACATGATTATTCTATTTTACAACTTCAGCCAACAAGTACCTTCAACTCTACTTTATCTTCATTATGATTAACCAGAGCCGGGAAAAAGTCAAATAAGTAAGTGTTTGTGAAAAAAAGTTGCTATCAAACGGACAATACTAACAAAAAAATTAGTATTTCTTTGAAGGTCACATACCCAGAAAACCTGCAGCTTGTGGCAGTGGCAAATGACTGCTTTGAGTTGCTCAGCATTGATGTCGGCAAAACTAAAATTAAGGGTAGTAAGGTTGGCACAAACAGGGTATATAGAAGGAAGGTAATCAGGAAGTATTTCCCTAAAGCCAGATAAACAAACTAATGATTTGCAGGCAGCAAAAGCAGAAGCATAGTTAAGTTCTTCTTCTTGTTCACCATCACCTTCTTCTGGCCTAAATGATCCAGTCCCCAGATGTGTAAGCTGTGGGGCCCTAACCATCAGCTTATAAAGGTTTCCAATGGAAGCATCCTGGTTCAACTTAAGCTTCTTCAAAGAAGGAGACCTCATCACCAATCTCTCCAACGCTTTATAATTCACCTCACCTGTCACACAATCAAAGACCAACGCCTCAAGGCATGTTTCACCTTCTGGGAAGCATGAAATCCAGTCCACATCATCATCAATGACCTCAGACTCCATCAAATCAAGCACCCTTAATTTCCTAAAATAATAAGCATCAAAGTTTAATCTCAAAATTGCGAGCACAAGATAACCACACACAGTCTCATAATGGAGCGCAATATCACACCTCAAAACAGGTTAAAATTTATCAACTATGGTGTTATCAACACCAAAAACGTATTAACAACTATAGTGGATGATTGAAATATGACTTCTACTGGAACATGTAAAAAATGATAGTTAGCAGCAACCCTTTTACTATGTAAGAGAATGTAGCAAACATCAAAGCAGGAGATCAATTAGGAATTCCAAAGCCAAAGCAAGAAAATTAAAAGAAGTTGCACTCACCTGCAATCACTGACAACGCAAGCAAGTCCATAAGTTCCGAAACCTTCGCAAGAGGCCAAAACTAGCTCCTCCAGATTCGGGAAAGCATCAGCCAGGGCCTGCATATCCTCATCGAGGAGAACCATGCGTTTGAAGTACAGTTTCTCGAGCGCACGGTAAGGCTGTGAAAAGGCGGCAACCCAGGTGTCCACGCGCGCGCCCCAGTCTGGCGGAAGCATGCCGAAATCAGCAAACCTGGGCTTGCCCTTAACAATCACCGAGGTGACCCGGCTAAACCTAGCCGTGACGCGTTGAGGCGACACAGCATAGCAGTTGCCGATGAATACTTCGGATCTGGTCATGGCCTCAATCCGGTACCACGACTTGCAGACCAGCGACGTCGCGTTCCGGTCTCGTCGATCGGTCAGGAAGCAGAGAACGTTTTCCAGCACATTCTCCAGGACGTGATCTGAGTTCGGAGGGAAGCAGCAGTTATCCTCCCCACCACCTCCGGCGGCGGCAGTATGGAAGACGCGGGATTTAGAGGCGGCGAGATCTGAAGTAGAAGACGGCGGCGGAGGCTCCGCGTCCTCAGACATTTCTGGACGGCCCTCACTCCCGATGCTACTACTGCTGGGACTACTAGTCTTCTTGTCACTCATCACATTTGTCAAGTGAACTTCAACTGTGTCTGAAAATTGAAATCTATACCCATAAATAATTTCAGTATAATTATTTAAAAAAAAAAAAATCACCCCATACAGCAATCAATTTTGTTTAATTATTTTATAAATAGATATTTTTCTGATGATGGGAGATTTGGGAAGAAAAAAAAAAGAAGGCGTTTTTAGGCTGATAGGAATAAGCTCGGCCGTATTTTCCGACTCCTCCCTGTTGATTTTGGTTGAACTATTTATAGATGGCGGTGGTAGGTGGAGGAGCACGGCGGTGGGGGAGGATTAGATGTTTCTAATGCTTTTGCGTCCGTTACTTGGGGTTTTCCTCTTCACTCATGCTCTTTTGTCCTGTTTTTTTTTTTTAATTTCTTTTCTCTCTTTTGGTGATGGGGTGATGTGATTTGTATGGAGCATAAAATGTCGTTTTGTTAATTTGCTTGGTAAAAAATAGTGCTGTCATCTTGAAATTATTGTCCATGGCACACCTGATATTCTTTTAAATTGAGATCCAAATATACTCATAAATTATAAAATATTCAAAAAAAAATCATAAAGTTTCACATATATGTACATACCCAAATAAACCTTTCGACAGTAAACCACCTATAGCGGAACATATCTTTAGACAGCTAATGAACATTATATTGTTTTATTTTATTATAAGAACAGGTAAAGGCAAAACCCTAGAATTATTAGTGGAAGTAACGCTCCAAGCCTCCAACCGCCTTGTGCTTTCACTCAGACTGCAAATGGTCCATTTCATCATTCATGCCAACACCAAAATCATTGGTGGTTCCGGAAGAAGGCGAATTATCGGCGTCACGAGAAAAAGATAAGGAACACAATGACAACAGTGGTGTGAAGAAAATCCATGGATAATAGCACATTCATTACAATCTAACCATCACTAGAAACATTTAAACCTTTTGGGCGAAATTATTAGTGTACTAATTGAATCATCTTCTATTGTATCATCTTCAAACCCTACAAACAAGGTAGAAACCATCTAGAACACAGTGGTAGACAACTCAAGAATGGTCCATTAGCATATCCCAGAACACCTTAGCCAAAACCCCTCAACATAGGGATGTCAAAAAAACCCGACCCGCAATGACCCGCCCTGGCCCGAGACATTTGGGACGGGTCCGCCCCGCCCCGCCTATACAATGGGGTGGGTCCGGGTATTAGAATTGACCCGTTCCGCCCCAACCCGCCCCGACCCGACCCGCTCAATATATAAATATACATACTTTTTCTTAACTTATACTACAAATATACTTCAACATACATATGTGTGTATACAATAAATCATAAATTCTTTGATCTTATAGTATATGAATATATATTAGAATGAGATGCACGACGAATTATCAATGTCTTCTTTATATATATAGAATTTTAATACATTTATTCAATTATTAATATAACTAATTAGATTAACTATTCAAGTTTGAGTAATTTTTTCTTAATTTTTGAAATTTTTAACGTATCATGAATTTGATTTAATATATTGAGTTTTAATTATTATTTAGAGATAAACATTATGTAGATTCAATTGGTAACAACTTCCTACAAATAAAAATAAAAACTAGCTAATTAGGTTGCGGCGGGGCGGACCCGCCCCGCATGGGACGAGTCATGGGTCAACAAGTTTGGACCCGTGCAGGTCACAGGGCGGGGCGGACCCGCCCCGCCAAGTCACGGGGCGGGTCCGGGTCTTGCAATACCCGACCCGACCCATTGCCATGCCTACCTCAAATAGGTTTCATCAACGTACTAGAGGCCTCATCACGATAGCAATTGGCATTGAAATGTACAATTGGTCATTAATGAAACTTATCTCTCAATGTATAAATGGATTTTTTTGTGATAATATTTAGCCTTGACTTTTATTGATTGTCATTGCTGCAAAGCTTACTTTTATAGGAAATTGCTTTCTTTGGAAATTGAATAAAGGTGTCATATGGGACAATGAGATTATCAATATGTAAACTTTATCTTTCACAAATTTTCAAGTTATGATTTGTCATACTTGCTTTTCCAATCTAGTTATGACCAAACATGTTTTATTGAACAAAACTTATGCATGCTTAATGTTCCTTATAACATTATTGGGGCTCCGATTTTCAAATGGAGGACATGGTTGGGCAATGTAGCCATTTAGGTAGTATACATATTGACATGGAAGGTAGTATCAGTGTGCAAGTGAATAATATTAATTGAACTAAGATATGTGACTCTTAGGCCATCGATCAACATTGCATATACATAGTTACTCATGATGTTTCTCGGTGTAAGGTCTAAAACCTTAAAACAAATCGCGTGAATCATCATAGCTTCGATCATCCCATATAATCAAAGACGTGGCATGCAATAGTTTTTGTCTTTGCACTTCCTTGATGAATGTTGCAGGTAGCACAATAATATTTATACAATGATGAGTTGAAACTAGCTTTAAAAGTACAAGACGTTGATGGAGTTTACTTAATATACATGACCAATAATTACTTGATTTTCTGCAAAATTTCAGACCTAAAGGTGTTATTGTGATTCCATTTATTGGAACAGAATGATGCAAAATCAATATATTGAATATCTTCGTTCCTATATAATTTTAACATGTTAATTTTTACACTGATCACATGTCTTACTGATATGCACAAATTAGTAGTGCATAAATATATGTTTTTATGTTTATTTGTACAGATTGTTTACCGTTTTATTTAGTTTGTAAACATATGTGTGATTTTAGTTGTAATTGTTTTTAGCTTTCATTTATAGTTGTAGAATAGTGATAGAGTTTTTGGCAAGGAAAAGGAGAAAAAGTCAACAGGAATGCGGCCCAGGGAGATCCACTCGACCGGGTAGAAATCTTCACCCGGTCGGGTCTGATTTAAAAAACGAACCTCAAAGGAAAGAGCTGGACCCGGTCGGGTCCATTAATGCACCCGGTCGGATGAGATTTGACCCGAGACATTTTAACGTGCTGAAACACAAGAACGTGGAAGATTATCTGATTTTGACATGCACTCGATCGGGTGGGCACTTGACCCGGTCGGGTACCCGACCAAAGGTGTTGAAAAACGCCTATAAATAGCGCACTTTTCCTTCACTAATTATCACTCCTTCTTCCATACTCTTAAGTTCAGTTTAGAATAATATTTCTTTTATATTTTTATAGCATGTCTAGTCTTCAAATGAGGAACTAAATTTCCATTTCTTGGTGTTACTGTATGGCGACAAACATTGGAGAACAAGGGTTTCAGACTAAGTCGAAGCTAGACAGAGTACATGGGGTGCAAGTTTGGTGGAGGTAGAAGTAGTGGATAGTGGGATTAATTTATATGATAAGGAGATACCAGTCAGTGATATGTTCCGTTACTTGGGCTCCATAATTCAGAAGGACAGTGAGTTAGATGGAAATGTATCCCATAGAATCAGAACAGGGTGGATGAAGTGGAAGAGTGTGTCAAGATTTCTATGTGATAGAGGTATGCCGACTAAACTGAAGAGTAAGTTTTATGAGATAATTACCCTGGGTATTACTAAAACTCTATCACTTTCCCAATCTATGACCTAATGAATTTTTTTCTTAAAATATAATTAAAATTCGTATTAATTAATTAAGGGAGCGGATCAGGTGAGAAGTGCTCTTAGGCTGAGAACTGCGAAGTTAAACTTATAGACTAAATATAAGAACTTTTAACCAATAAATCATAACTTATAAACCCCTCAAAAATAATTACAAAAATGCCACCGCAAAAAAATAATTACGGAAACCTGAAATTTTTTTTTACGCGGTGACATTTTCGTAATTATTACGGAGAGCTTTATAAGTTATGATTTACTCCGGCTGAGATTTAGTTATAAGTTCATATATATACTCTAAGTTTATTGCGTTGTAAGATCAGATGCAAATTCAAGAACTGAGATTACTTCTCACTTCTTATTTTAAGGGCCACTTCTCACCTCATCTTTTCCCAATTAATTAATATAAGAATAAAAAATTAAATAAAGTATATTATATGACTAATATGTCCTTAGACTATTATTAAAAAAACATAATATCTTATTGCTTCTAGCCCTAAAGCTTGTAGTCATGTCCCCTGCGTGCAAATGCCCACCCATGCCGCCACCGGGCGTACAACGCCGCCGCCCACGTAGAGCAACACCGCCGCTCGCCGTGCAGAAACGCCACAACTGGAGAGGTCGCCAGCCGTTCGCACAAATCTGACGGGCTGGGAGAAAAATAGCCAATCCAGAAGCTATGCAGCCTGAGAAGGCATCCACTCGACCTGGGTGCCATGTCGTCGTCAACGGCCGTCGCTCGCCCGAAATCCTCCACCCACAGTCTAGTCGCGCCGCCTCCACAGATGTCCGGCCTGAGAGCAAAGTCACCGATGATATAGAGCCATGGATGGGATTCACCAGATCTGGAGCCGTGGAAGGGATTCGCCTCACTGTCGGATAGGTTGATGTTGATTCTTGAAGCCAGAATTTGAAGCCATTCAAGAACGGCGACTTCAGAATTAGAGAAGTGGGAAAAAGGAAACGTCTCCCGTGAACACTTGTGAAGACCTGTTCTTCATACTTTTTGCTTTTTCAATTATGGAATACTGGAAAAGTCATACGCCTCATTGAAAAGTGGTCTTAATTTTTTTTTAATTTTTGAGATTATGGTTTTTTCAATTTAGGGTTTGTGGACATTAAATACGAGCATTGAACATTGGCAGTGAATATCGCAATACATAGCACTACGTATTGTACATGACAGTGAATTAAATGAATTAAATGCATTGAAAAATTTGTTGTGCAGTGATTATGATCAATAATTTCGCCATGAAACGCAATATACTTAATTAGGCATAAAATAATATAATTATTAAATCTAAAAAAATAAAAAATAAAAAACAATATATAATTTCATAGAATGAATGAGAAGAGAAATAAATTTGGCGGAAGTGCAGTGAATATTACCGGATGTGCAATAATGTTTTGCAGTAAAGACAATAAAAAATGCGTTGATTTTAATTGGACAAAATTAGTACAAAATGCACATATTTTAAATAAGGGTATTTTTGTCATTCAACATTTAAATATAAATGAAATTTTATTTTATATTTGGATTTTCGGTCATATAAGTGTCAAAAAACTAGTTTAGTTATGCTTAGAGAAACTCAATGAGTTTTAGTCTTATCCCGGAAAATTTCCCTAAATTTTATAGGACAACAATTAGGTCTGCATTGCTGTATGGCGTAGAGTGTTGAGCGATGAAACAATGTCACATTCAAAAGATGAGTGTGACAGAGATGTGCATGCTACGTTGGATGTGTGGGCATACTAGGAAGGACCACGTGAGAAATGAGACAATCAGACAAAGGGTGAGAGTAGCACCTTTTGAACGTGAGAAATGAGACAATCAGACAAAGGGTGGGAGTAGCACCTTTTGAAGACAAGATGCGGGAGTCGCGCCTATGGTGGTTTGGTCATCTGCGTAGAAGACCGAGTGATGCACCTGTTAGGCTTGTTGAGATGTGTGGAGAAGAGGCACGGAAGAGAGGGAGAGGAAGACTCAAACAGACGTGAGTTAGGGGAGTCCAAAGTGATATGCTTCTTTATGGGTTGGATGAGGATATGACTTTGGAGAGAGCAACGTGTAGAACGGGTATTCGTGTGTAGGAGTGATCTCATATTATTATTTCCCCTCAGCTTTTGTTTGTTCTTGTTTTTTTATTCTTTTATCCTTATATATATATATAAACATTATTTTTATCCTTTTTATTTTATCATTTTCAGGTTTATTCATCTCTTTTTGTATTATCTTCTTTATAATAAGTTATCTTTTTTATCTTGATTTTCTTTTTTTTCCTTTTGGTGATGATATCATGTATCGATTCATGTTAGTCGACCTCAATATCTACTGGGACTAAGACTTGGATGTTGTTGTTGTTGTTGTATACGTTACACATCCTTTTAGTGATTCTTTATATAATTGTTGAAGTAAATTTCACTAAGCCTAGATAGTTTATTCAAGAATTATACTATTAATTAATTGAAGTTATAAATAAAAATTATTCTAAAAGTATGTACTAGCGTGAATTTGAGATGATAATTATTAGAATATAGTTTATAAGTAGATGATGATAAATATGGTATACTAATGACCAAAGAATAATGTTGAAACCACTAAATATCAAAGCTAGTGTTTACCTAAAGAAATTACACTATTTTATGTTTGATACTTCATTATCGGGATTGAGCGGGATTAAGCGGGATTTCCGATCGTGAAGCCGACTTAATCGGGATTTTAATGTCTGGATCCCGACTTAATCGGGACAGGACACAGGATCCTCTTATAGTTTGAATCGGAATCGGGATAGAATCGGGATTTTGGCAATCGATCCCGATCCCACCCCTATGCTGAATAATTGATGGATTGCTCTATTTGACCTACATATGGCTTAGCAAAGGATGGAAAGTCAAGCTCAACACTCATTCCGTTTCCATAGTTGAATCTAATAGAGGTTATGATTTTAGTATTCTGCCAGCAATAATGTCAATAGACAATTCAAGTCCCTCTCCCTTCACATATGACACAACCAAAGTACTATAAATGATTCTATTCATTCAAAGATCATCAGTTCAAAAATGATCCCAAACCTGAAATTTCTCCCTATTTGGGATAGGCACAATCTGATTACGGTCAAGCAACAAAGGCCAACCCAAAAGTCCAAAACGGTGTAGTCCAGACGACTCCAGCATCATATGCAGAATGCGCTACTTCCGATCCGGTCTTATCCTTCCAATTACAGTTCTCTCCGAGTGTGTTACCCAGTCAATTCCCATCCAATTCAACGAAGTCCAACACTGCTCCAACTGTTGCTCAATAGATTTAATCAAAAGCCAAGGCTCAAAAGGGCATTTAGCCAAATCTATTGACTTCAAGTGGGGTTTGCCGACTTATCCAATACATTAATTAATAATTACCACATACAATCACAGCTAAAATGAATCATTAGCATCGCCATCATGGTCCATCATTCCAAGGATCTTATGCCAATTCCACAGATAGGAGAACTAAATTAGGAAAGCAGGAAACCAGAGCCATTGATCAACCATGCTTACATGGATATCATTAGTGAAACGAAACATCCAATAAAAGAACCATATAGAAATTCAGCAGCCAGGTGCAAACGAAAAAACAGCCAAAGAAAATAAGCAGGTCTAAAAGTGTAAACTGACAAACATAGAAACAAGTAAAAGCTCAGTCTAATGAAATGGGAATTATGCAACGGATGGCAAGTCCACCCAAATCATCATCATCTTTCTCAATCTGCATTTCTGTAGGACCCCATCTTACACCTTGCAATGTCCATGGCTTCTTTTTATCTTTAAGACAAAATGAACATCCTCAATGAAGAAAGAGACCACAAATAGTTCACCAATATTAACCCTGGTCCAAGAACTTCCAGGGAAAAAACACTATACCGCAATGGCACCCTCCTGTGCATCTTTCCTAACATCAATAGATTTGAACAAACCTTGAGGCATCGGTTCTTGGTTCATTATTAACAGACCGGTACATGTACAAAACATCATAATCATTCTCATTACTCCCCAACTCGTTCCAGTCAATCACTTCGACCATCAAGTGCGGCAACTCCCGTGCAATCTCCTCACAGCATTCACGTGACACTCGGCAAGAAGACAACCAAATGAACCTCATGTTGTAATAGTGATGCAAACCAGCACGGGCAGCCAAGTCCCCAAATGGGCAATCCCTTACCTCGAGCTTTTGCAACTTCGGGCAGCCCTCCAACACGTATTTCAGCCCCAAGTCACTATCCCCAGCGAACGCGATTGACAGCGTCCGCACCAATTTACCATATTCACCAATGTAACTAAAAACTTGGTCGGTCAGCAGACCGGATATAGAGAGGCGGGTGAGATTCTTACAGTGCTTGACAATAGCTCCAAACCCTTCATCCATTGGCTCTCCTGTTACCGGGTCGGGTCTGTGCCGGCCCATTATGCAGAGACGGAACACCACAATATCTGGTAAGTTCTGTGAAAAGGTCAGGAGAGCCGCATTGGTCATTCTCTGGCAAAAATATAATATGTAATTAAGTTTCTTGCAACCCTCTGAGACTGCAACCAAACCGATTTCAGAAACGGGGCCATCCGCGTCTTCATCAGCATTACGAGGGAAAACCTGAAGCTCTCTTAGATCCTTACATGTTTCAGCTACTGCCTTGAGGCCTTCATCACATACTGAATCAAGCACCTGCAGAGAAAAATTTAAGATTAGGAGATGGTGTGTATTTGGCCATAGTTCCCTCTGAACAATAGTGTTTTGTAAAATCAATTTCAGCTAGATAAATAAGGACTCGCTCGGTAGCCATTTTCATCTTCTTAGCTGTGTTTGACTACAATTTTACCAAACACATAACTTTTGATTCTGATTTACTCAAAGAAATCAATAAAATGATTATTCACATTAGATTTTCACGCGGTAAATTATTTAATAATCAATATCAGTAAAGTCGAAGTTACTTTTCTTACTGAATTTGGTGAATAAGACTATCTAAGCTATTTTCTCATATAGTTTTTTCTTAATTTTAATAATAAAAATATTATTTTAGATTTATTTTTAATTCAGCCAATTTCAGTGTTAACAAATCGGATCTAAGTTGAAGGCTACACGATCAACTTATTCTAAGTATTCATAGCAAAATGAGCCAACTCATGCAACCAAACAAGACCTATTTGTGGGTGATACAATGAAGGTTCTGAATGTTGAGAAGATATATGTAATATGTATTTTATTGCTAACAAAGAGATGAATTGTTTGACAAAAAGAAATTAATGTGATTATAATATAGTAATTATATTCTACAACTTCAGCCAAAAAGAACTCACCACCCTACTTTATCTTCATTATTTAACCAATGCAGGGCACCAAGTCTTATAAATAAGCATTGGGCAATAAAAAACTGTCCAACTGATATGCCGAAAAAGTGGCTACCAAATGGTCACTATTAATAAACAAAAATTCAGATTTCCTTGAAGTTTACATACCCATAAAACCTGAACAAAAATTCATATTTCCTTGAAGTTTACATACCCATAAAACCTGCAGCTTGTGGCAGTGGCAAATGACTGCTTTGAGTTGCTCAGCATTGATGTCGGCAAAACTGAAATTAAGAGTAGTAAGGTTGGCACAAATGGGGTATATGGAAGGAAGGTAATCAGGATGTATTTCCCTGAACCCAGACAGAGACACTAATGATTTGCAGGCAGCAAAAGCAGAAGCATAGTTAAGTTCTTCTTCTTGTTCACCATCACCTTCTTCTGAGGGCCTAAATGATCCAGTCCCCAGATGGGTAAGCTGTGGGGCCCTAACCATCAGCTTGTAAAGCTGTTCAATAGAAGCAACCTGGTTCAACTTAAGTTTCTTCAAATAAGGAGACCTCATCACCAACCTTTCCAACACATTATAATTCACATCATTTATCACACAATCAAAGGCCAAAGACTCGAGGCATGTTTCATCTCCTGGGAAACATGAAATCCAATCCATTTCTTCATCATCGATATCACACTCCATCAGTTCGAGCACCCTCAATTTCCTAAAATAATAAGCATCAAAATTATACCTAGAAAGTGCGAGCACAAGCAAACCACAGAATCTCACAATTGAGATTATTATCATACCTCAAAGTTGGTTAAAGTTAACAGAAATGCTACTTGTACACGTCCGATTAACGCCGGATTACACTTGTATTTAGTAAGGGTAAGTGTTGTGATCCCGAGTTGACTTTGCACAGACAATTCATTTCTTGGAGTCACAGACACTTCCCTTTACTAAACCCCGTGTAATTGTCCGTGCACCGACAATTACACTCAGGTGTGTTAGCCGGCGTGTAAACGAAGCAAAATTCTAAATTAATTTGTCACTACATTTCAACACACCAATAAAGTAGATATTACCCCTCAAAAAAGTAAAAGATTTAAAACATGGTAACACTTTCCAAGGCATCGTTACTGATTGCCGCGGTGTCATGGTAAGTGTTAATCCTCTCCTGTTTTTGTTTTTCTACTTCTTCCACCATCTCTGTTTCTGTTATCTTCAGTTTATTTTTTATTTTATTTTGACCAATCTCTTTTATTTAATTCTGATATTGATTGGTTTGTTTTGATTAATTTTAATCCAAAAATAATTACAATTTTGTTTTCTAGTAAATATTATTGATTTGAAGGGGTGCAAATATACCGCTAAAGTATATGTAGAGGTGAGCATATACTTCTGAACTTTTAAAATGTGCAAAAATACCACGTATGTTCCTAACTTCCTATAAAAGAGCAAATTTACCCTTATTGACTTTAAAATAAAGAAAAAATAAAAAAAGAAAAGATACTATACATTTAAAATACGAAATTTAAAAATAAAAATTAAAGAGTTAAAAATAAAGATCAAATTTTATGTTAAAAATATTAACTCTTTAATTTTAAATTATTATTTTTCCCGTGTAAATGAGGCACTTCAAATTCATAATATTAATTTCAGTCTTGTTGTGAAATTTCGAACACATTTTTCCGTTTTTTGAAATAAGATTCTTTGATTTTGTTTATGCATAACAAAAATTAAAATCACTATTTTGTAATATTGAACTATTTATCATCATACAAAATATGTAATTTCATACTGCAAAGAATACAAAAAATTAATTTTTTTTGCAACACATATTCTAACACTTTTCCGAAATAGTCATAAATATATACGAGTAATAAAGTTTTGAAACAAATTTTCATACTAACTATATTAAATTGTGATATAAAAATAACAACAATATTTAATTTATATACTAACAATATTAAACTTTTTTATTTTTCAATTTTGAATTTTAAATTTATACTTTATTTTTGGTATTTTTTAAAATTTATTTTATTTATTTAATGTCAATAAATGTAAATTTGTTCCTTTATAGAAACATGAGATGTATTTTTGCAACTTTTTCAAAGTTCGGGAGTACTTGTGCACTTCCAAAAAAAGGATGACACCTCATCCCTGAGGGCCCCCCAACACCTACTGAACGGCACGATGGGAGGATGTAAATTGGACTATAATCACAATCTGACAGATAGAGAGTGGAGCTCTGTCCCCGGTACTTGCAGAGGCCCTATGCATTTTTCAGCATAGTAACCCGTCATCGCAGTTGCTGGGATTCGAACCCGAGACCTAACCCTTGTGGCACTCCCTTGCTATCAGTTGAGCTACGCCCACCGGTAAAGTTCGAGAGTACATGTGCACTTCCACATATACTTTGGGAACATGTTTAAACTTTTCCCCTATTTGAACATTGATTTAAAAATAATGTCATTTTATGGCATTACCCTCACTAAGACATCAATATTACTCCTTGGAAATACGTAGTACTATCTATATTAATAAGGATTTTTTTTGCGAGGGATATTAATAAGGATTTATATTTCTCATTAGGGATAATTAGGTATTTTTTCAAAATAAATATAAATAACTATAATTTGTAGCTCCAATATGATGGATCCATTCATGTTAGATGATCCAAAATCTTTTAAAAATAAGGCTTGATATTATTGTGGTAAATATTTAAACAACTAGAGTAGATAATGTAAATATATGACTATTAGCCAAAAGTTGCAACAGAAATTGCCCTAAATAGGAGTAAAAACGTTTTGAAATTCCAAAATAAGAACATCATGATTTTTATTCCCTAAATAGGAGTAATCTGCCAAGTTTAGAAAAAAATGCCACGTTTAAAGCCTTATAATTCCAAACTTGGAAGAAATTTACTCCTATTTAGGGAATAAAAAAATGATACTCCTATTTTGGAATTTCAAAACGTTTTTACTCTTATTTAGGCAATTCTGTCAAGTTGCAAACCTTTTAAAAAGCAATCGGCAAACAATGAAAAGGATGTCAAATACGCAGTAAGAAATTTCAAATCCCACACAAGAAATTCAAAAGTGCCACTCACCTGCACTCCCCCGCGACGAAGGCAAGCCCCATGGTCCCGAATCCTTCGCAACAGACCACAACCAGCTCCTCCAGATTCGGGAAAGCCTCCGCCAGAGCCTGCATATCTTCGTCCAGGATAACCATGCGTTTCAGGTACAGTTTCTCCAGCGCACCGTAAGGCTGGGAAAAGGCGGTAATCCACGCGTCCACGCGCGCGCCCCAGTCCGGCGGAAGCAATCCGAAATCGGCAAACCTAGGCTTGCCCTTAACAATCAGAGATTTGACCCGGCTGAACCGTTCCCTGACCCGCTGAGGCGACACGGCGTAGCAATTTCCGATGAAGACTTCGGATCTGGTCATGGCCTCAATCCGGTACCACGACTTGCACACTAGCGAGGTCGCGTTCCGGTCGCGGCGATCGGTCACGTAGCAGAGAACGTGTTTCAGGACATTCTCCAGGACGGTGTCTGAGTTCGGAGGGAAGGAGCAGAGGTCCTCCGCTCCGCCTCCCGCGGCGGAAGTATCGATTATGCGGCGGCATTCAGCAGCGGCGGCGAGATTTGAAGTAGAAGATTGCGGGAATTCAGACATATCTGCTCTGTCCTCGCTGCTACTGGGACTGCTAGAATTGTTGTGATTCACTGTAAGTGGACTCCAAATGTGTCTGGAATCTATACCAATAAATAATTTTGAAGAAATTTGTATGGTAGCTATTCATCTGGAGAGGTTTTGGTACAGGCTGCATGTGGCATTTAATAAATGTTTCTTCACAATGAATATGGGTGTATTTTTTGTTCCTAAAAAAGATGACACCCTGAGAGCATCATCACTCAAATAATCAACTTTTTATATGAATCTTACCATTTAAATATTATTATGTAATTAATTTTAAAATAATCTCAAAATTCATTTATGTTTCTCAATCATCATCTTCAAATAATCTGCTTTTCTCTGCCCTTCATTAATCTCTATTACATATACATTTCAAATAATCTTAAAATAATCCGGATTCATATTTTGATCCCAGATTATTCTAACAAATAATTCCATTAAATAATCTATGTCACTCAATGATAATATTCTAAAAAACCCGCCATGTCACCAATATAATCTCATAATAATCCTGCCAATGAGGATGCCCTGAGAAGTATTTTTTGTTCCTTAAACATATCCATATACTCCGTACATTTACTCGTATATACGGAGTATTACCTGAGAAGTATTTTTTGTTCCTTAAACATATCCATATACAGAGTAATCTTCCGGTCAGATATACCTGACCGGAGCCGCCGTCCGGCCTCCTCCTTTTGGGGGCCTTCCCGGTGATATTTTTTGCTCAAATTTTTTGTGTATGTTCCTCATCAAGTCTAGTTCATCCATACCAAATTTCAGCAAAAAATTCAATCGGGAAGGTCATCAAATGATTTTTGCAAGTTCACTGGTCCGGAAAATACATATTCCGGACCAGTCAACTTGCAAAAATCATTTGACGACCTTCCCGATTGAATTTTTTGTTGAAATTTGGTATGGATGAACTAGACTTGATGAGGAACATACACAAAAAATTTGAGCAAAAAATACCACCGGGAAGGCCCCCAAAAGGAGGAGGCCGGACGGCGGTTCCTGTCAGGTATACCTGACAGGAACATTTGTGTCCATATACATTTATATATTTATATATTTGCACTGTATATTCTTTGATAATTGATCAATAAATATACTCCGTATAATGTGTAAATGATATAATTAATAAAAATAGAAAACTAACGTTTTTCAGTTTTAATGATTAAAATATAGAGTATTATTATAGAATATATTCAAAGAAAATATTAAGTGATATATCTTCTTTATCATTTTTTATTGAAAATCGCGTATATTAAGTATGTTTTTACTTGGACTGTAATTTGCTGGTCTTATTTGTTTAAGTTCGGTCTGATCTGGTCTGTTTAAGTTGGGATAAAACTCATTGTGAATTTTCAATATATTTTAAATTTAAGTGATAGTTCCCGAAATAGGACTAAAAAAGTTTGAAAATTTCAAAATAGGACTGCCACATTTTTATTCCCAAAATAGGAGTAATTACTGCCAAATTTGAAAAATACTGCCATGTTTGATGTCTGTTACTGTCAAAACATGGCAGTAATTAGTCCTGTTTTGGGAATAAAAACATAACAGTCATGTTTTGGAATTTTCAAGCTATTTTAGTCCTATTCCGGGTAATATTCTCTAAATTTAATGGCACTCGAAGTTATCTCACCACAATTGATGGTTTTACACAAACTTCATCACGGTCCAAAGCTCAATCAATCAATTGAAAGCCCAAATCTTATTTTATATATGAATTAATTCCATTTTGGCCCTGCGAGTTTTATGTCATTTTTACATTTCGTCCGCGTCTTTCAATTTGTCCACTTTTGGTACTTGACTAATGTTTCTTGACCATTTGTTGTCTTTTTCCGGCGATTCTAACCACCGGAATAGTTGCCGGAAGGACCTTATGTGGGTGAAAACACAATAGTCATGTACCAAAAGTGGACAAAGTCAAAGGCGTGGATCAATTGTGGAATTAGTGTGATACTCATAGAACCAAAAGTGGAATTTATTCTTTATTTATTGAGTTCGACTTTATATAATGTTTGAAGTCTCATTGTCAATTTTCAATATATTTTAAATTTAATAGAATAAAAAACTATATATTTTAGCCTAAAAACTATTAAAAAAACATCTTCTCTACAAGTCTTGTTTTTTTCACTAATATTTATGATAATATTGAAAAATCAACTCACAAGACTTAAAAATTGAAAATATTAAAATGCGCTTTTGATTTATAGGGCCAATAGAGTTTCTTATGGGGTGGATCAGTAACAAATATGCATATAACTTTATTCGTCTTGTGAGGTAGTTTGCCGTAATCTAACTACTCCATTATTCAACAGCATTTTTTCGCATAGTATCCATCCCAATAGGTAATTAGGATAACCATGTACAATGTCTAGTTAAATGAGTCATTAGTCTTTTAATAGAATATATCTAAAAACTATACTCACATTATTTTAATTTCATAGATTTATGAGGTAATTTCTTAAGTAAAAAGGGCTCGATCACCAAGTGCACAATGAGTTTACCAAACTTCTTACTCTCATCTTGTGAATTATACTTTGAAATAAATAGATGTTCGTGGTTCTGAAATCACATATACGATTAATGTTCATGATATTCATTCTATACACACAAGTTAAGTTGCAATTGATGGTTTTACACTTATTAGAGATTTGGAGTATTTAAATTTAGTAATGATTGAATATGTGCATTTCGAATGAAGTGCACACAAATAATTTGAAAAGCGGCAATAAAAGTATGATCAAATATGTGACTCTCAATAGGCCAAAATGAAAAATGACAAACTAATTTGTCATATACTTGTGTTTATTGTGTGGAATTCCCTTGATATGTAGCTTATGGGGCTTATTCCCATATAGTTCTGTTGGGTTAACGGCCCAAGCCGAGGTCCGGCCCATTAACCCTTTTTTACCAGACGCGTGTCCAGTTAGAACACAAGGCTAGCCGCAGGCCCATGTTCCTTGGGAAGGGACGAACGTCTTGTGTTGAGGGTTGTTAAGGCTCAACGGTCCATCGCGACGAACGTCTATGCAAGGACCAGGGGCAGGACCACGGGCCATCAAGGATGACGACGAACGTCTCCTGAGCAAGCCCATAGTCATCGGAGGAAATCCAGTCCACATGGTGAGAATCCATTAAGGCCAGGAGACGAACAGCCGAAACCTCTTGAGTGTCACTTGTAGCAGTCCAGCTCGCCTCCCGGGCGGACGAACGTCCCCACTATTTAGGCGGGAAACCTAGATTCTGGCGGGAAGTGCATTTAATGCTGAAGATTTGGTGGTTGGGACACCAGCGGTCCACAGGCCTCCACGTCAGCATAGCCACCTGCCCATTGGTGGGTATAAATAGAAGCATTTATGTCATTGTAAAGGGTTGGCAACTTTCTATTCTTAGCACTCTAGCTATAGTATTCTTACTCGCAGCACTTCCACTGTTTTGTAAGACGAACGGCCGACGGAGCCTTAGCGAAAAGTATTGTATTAGGGAGTTATTGAGAGATAATAATACCTAATCAATTACTTGCTACTTCTTGTTCTCTTTAATCCATATCATCTGCTTGTTGGGCTAGTTTTCTCACACACACTCCACTCGAGACCCTTGGGCTTACGTGTTGGACCCGGGGGTTGAAGGAATAAACCTCATCACTGGCGCCGTCTGTGGGAAACTGAACTAAAAGTTTCCAAAAAACTCTCCCAAACAGCTACTAATTCTACCCACAGCAAGCACGATGACAAGAAACAACCGCCAACGTGACCTCTCCGAGCAGCTGTCCCGCGGACGAAGCAACCACGGGCAAACCACGGAACGTTCCGAGACGTTGGGGACAACTGGGGGAGAGGGTGGCCTCACAAACCTCATCCCCCATGAGGCCAGGCGCGACCCTCGACTCATGAGGGAGCTGGCGGAAACGATGCGCCGAATGGCGGACGAACAGGAGGCGAACGAAGAGGTGTACTCAGCTAACACCATCTGGACGCCCATATCACCCATCCACCGCATGCAGTCCCTGGATGAGACAGCGGAATCTGCCGGGCGTCGGACGCCCATCCACATGAGGTTGGGTCAAAATCCGTCCTCCCACGGAGCTGGGGGGCACACCGGCGCCAGCACCCCTCGGTATGGTTGGCAGGACGATCATCGGGGGCGTACGCCGGACGTTCCCTCAGAACATCAGGGCACCACCATCACCCCCGCTGCCAGTAATATTGGACGACGTTTCCAAAGGCATGGTGCCCATATCACCCGGAGGCAACCCGACGCGGTTGCCCCTCGAAGGAGCGTTGCGCTCGAGGGCGCCCCTCTTGTGTCCCCCGGAAGGGCCGCACAGGAGGCCCGACTAGAGGCAATGGAGCGGCGAATAGCCGAAATGGACAGACGGGCGGAGGCCGTCCCAGCCACGCCCCGTTTCTCCCTCACCTCGCCTTTCACTCCGAGGGTCATGAATGCAGAGATCCCGCGGGACTGCAGGCCCCCCCAGGGGATAGTGTACAATGGGACCGGGGATCCCAAGGCTCACCTGATCAGCTTCCAGGGGAACCTTTCCATGCTGGGAGCATCCGACGAGGCTATCTGCCGGCTCTTCTTCAGCACCCTGAGGGGACCGGCGCAGGAATGGTTCGGGCAGCTGAAGCCCGGATCTATTGACAACTACGAACAGTTGTCCCAGCGGTTCATGGCCCAATTCGCTGCCAGCACCACCCCCAAGAAGAGCTTCACATCGCTCACCAGTGTGAAGCAGGGGAAGGACGAACCTCCGGCCCAATTCCTGGTCAGGTGGAGAGACAAAGTACTCCAGGTGGATGACCTGGACGAGCGGCTGGGGGTAAACATGTTCACCAGTGTTCTGGCAACGGGGGGACCTATACCGGGACCTTCGGAGGAACCCCAGCACCAGCTACACCGAGGTGCTGGCTCGGGCGCAGAAGTATGCCTCCATTAAAGAGGAGATCAGATTGAGGGACGGCGCGCCTGCAGCCCCTTCCCGAAAATTGGCGGATAGGCTCGGCCCCGGAGGCGGACCATCCCCCCCAAACAAAAAGAAGAAGACGGACAGCGGCATAGTTCCGTGGAAGGCTCATCCGGAGGCCAGCCGCATACGTCCGGACGAGTACCACGTCCCTCTGGCTTACCCCGTCAGCCAGATTTTCGACGCCATCAAAGATAAGGGCATCCTAAGGGAGCCCCAAGACAAGAAGGCGCTTATGGGTCTTGA